TTTGCGAGCGCGGGAGGACTCAGGCCGAAGAGCCAGACGCCTCTCTCGTCAAATGTGGCCGAACATAACCCATAAGTTCGGTTTATATTTTCGTCGTATAGAGAACTCACCACTGAACAACGTGTGATGTGCAGTTCGTACAGAAGATTTTAATCGGAAAATGACACAGGCTGAAGCAACTTGAGAGATCTAACTGCAAGTGACAGAAGAACATCAAAATCGATGCCTGATCTGAACTGGCTCGGTCTGACCGACGATGGGGACCAATATTCGTTATGAAATATCAGATTTTATGAAAATAACCAAGTAACAACCAGCTACTCGAAGAATTCTCTATACAATAAAAGATGAAGTTGTCCTTGTGATTAACTGATTAAACACTACGCTATGAAGGCTTAGGGGGGAGTGGATGTATAGATCCAAATATTTTTACCTCAGCACTAGCTGGAGATGTGTGGTCAGTTTCATGCCCCGGTTATTTTACTCACCGTATACATTAGATATGAGGTTGGGTTGACCCTGATCCGGTCCGGACGACGTTGAGAATAGAAAATTATTGACCACACCGGGACTCGAACTCCGACTCCCTTGGTCGTCCATTTTGTAGCCAGCTGCTATACAGACTGAGCTATCCCGCTTCTTCTGTTGAGTTAATTTCATTAAACGGCTGTATTTGGACATCCCTGGCAAGTAGAGACTTCTAGAGGGAGAAGAAGGTGGCTGTCAGAAAACCTCAAACAAATTTCTCCAGGGCTATTGAGTGAGACATCGGCAGAAGATTGAATTGTTAGGGGAAAATTACTATAGTCATGGTAACCTAAGCTAGCAATTTGCCTTTGTGCCTGCAGGCTAAAGCAAGCAGGGGTTGCCTAGGAAATATTTCCAAATTATCCTTCTACCTTTTCACTTTTTATTCCCTTTTGTTTTCTTAACTACGGATAGGTAATCACGAAATCATCATCATCAACATCAAATCTGAAGCAGTCCAAGAATTCACGACGTATGTTGTTAGTATGCTTTTCAGTTACTAAAACATAACGAACATATCATAATCATAATCATCTTCATCAAATCTAAAGCAACATAAATTTAAGCTTTATGAAAATTTACTTCTAAATTAGAGAAATAATTAATTTAACTTTATGTTCCAAGGCATAATCAAATACTCCGACTGTCTCAGTAAGTAATGAGAGGCGCTGTCATCATATACGTCATCATTATCATCATAATCATCAAATTCAAATAAGTAAACATCTGAAAGCCGGTCACAGTAGCCGAGCGGTCTAAGGCATGTACTGTTTTCACTCGCTTGGAAACCGGGATCGTGGGTTCGAATCCCACTCAGGGCATGGATGTTAATTTGTGTGTGTCGGTTTTTCTGTGTTCGTGTACAGGTAGAGGCCTTGCGACGAGCTGATCACCCGCCCAAGGAGTCCTACCGAATGTGTAAGATCTAGAAAAAACCGAAGTGAACGGAGAAGTTCATGGAGGTAGGCCTAGACCCACTGGGGCTGTAGTGCCAAGGGGGAAAAAACATCTGAAAATAAATAAAATAGATTAGATTTTGAGTTAAAGAACATTTAAGATAAATATTACCTGTGACCGAATGTGACCAACTAATGAGGTCAACTTCGTAACTTCAGAGAGGCCTATATGATCATGATCATCATCAGCGTTAGATCTGAAGCAGTAAAAAAGCAATAAAAGGATCTTCATCGAAAGCAGTGTAGGCACTTCAGAATGCTGTTTCTATTTCGCCAGTCAACTTGTGTAGCCTATAGTAGAATGAATGTTAAGCGGACACACAAAATGTAGGCCTATTCGAGCAAGGATTTTACCCAATTTCTAGACGTTCATATGACTCTATGAGCAATAATTTGCTTAAGACACGCAAACGAATGATGATTTATGAGTGTGCAGTTGAAATGGGGCGAGTAGGCATTGGAAAGAAAGCGGTGTTTCTCAATCCATGCACCAGTATACTTGCTGTGTTTCCTAGTTATTTACGGATAAAAATAGCTCTACAAAAATATATAATTTTGCCTACACTCAGTGTCTCATGATTTTAAATACTTATGTCTGTGTTTTCTGAGATCCATAAACTTATTAATTTTATTTGGAATAAGAAAGAATTGCCTGATCAGTGGAAGGAGTCTATTATTGTACCAGTTCACAAGAAGGGTGATAAAACTGACTGTAGTAATTATCGAGGGATATCACTGCTATCAACTTTATAAAAAAAATAATCGAATATTATTGTTTCCAGTTTAAATCTATATATTGGGGACACACGATAGCGTAGTTGGTTGAGGTACTATGCTTCAAGCCAGAATGTCGCGTGTTCAAGTCCCGATGAGGTCACTGGATTTTTTTTTCAATTGACCTAATTCTTCCAGCCGCACTATGGCGCTGGGGTCGACTCAGCCTCTAACAGAAATGAGTACCAGAGATATTCTTGGAATCTTCTTTGTTGGCAAAGGGCGGCCTCCATTTTTGAGCCGATTGTCTAGGAAATGTGGGAATCTCAACGTCTCACAACCCTATGAGCCTTCACGGCCTGTTAAGGGATACCTTTACTTTTTTACTTTATATAAGTGAAATTATTGGAGATAATCAATGTGGGTTTCGATGTAACAAATCAACTACTGAGCAGATCATGATTTAGGATGACGAAGCCATATTGATCTAGATGTACTGTCGACTTATTTATAACCTTCAATGTCTCTATCTTCAGGTCGAAATGGTAAAGAAATAAAAGCCATCCCTGTAACAGGCCGTGAAGGCCCATGGGGTTGTGAGACGTCAAGGCTCCTACATTTTCTAGACAATCAGCTCACAGATGGCGGTAAGGTTGTCAGCCCTACTCGCCGACCACCTTTTACCCCAAGAATATTCCTGGTACTCATTTCTGTTAGAGGCTGAGTCGACCCCAGGTCCATAGTGCAGTTGGAAGGATTAGGCAAACTGAAAAATCCACATTATTGGGACTCGAAACAGCGACCTTCAGCGAAATGGCACTGGACATAATAAGGATTTACATGGCGCCATCACTCAGAAAAGGACCGCCATATTTTACCTTGTTATTTCGCAAATTTCTGTATTTTTGTATCAACCGATTAGCAGACCTTGACGGAAGAGGGGAATCCGCGGATGTCTTCTTTTTTGTCACAAAATATCTCAAGACATAAGTTAAAATAGTTCATTTAAAAGCTAATAAGTATAAACTGTGGTTTTTGGTTCTTGTTTGCAATCTTCGGCTGAGGCCAAAGACACTTCTCCCGTTGCAGTGGGCCGATCATTTGCGTGTAAATTCTCCACGCAACTGCGTCGTAAGTAACGCTAGTTGCAGCTACGTAAACCGGTTCAATGCTTTTCTTACGTATTTGATTTCAATTTACAAAAGCAGGCGTGTCTGTATCTTGAATAGAAAAAAAGTTAAATGAACTGCTTTGGATTTAAATCACTCACAGCGGTGGACATGAAGAAGTCTATTATCTGGGTTATAGCGCCCTGTATCTCATGAAAGTCAACCAATATATTGTATTTTGAAAAAAAAAATATGACGACCCAAAATTGTGGAGTTGAGCGAACAACTAACCAGCGAGAAGCAGTCAGAAAATTCTGGTCGATTGTGACAACTTAACAGACTAATGGCACTAGATATAAAGATAATCAGCATGAAGTTCTGCGTGCTGTCTGCTTCACGCTGAACTCTTGCTCGACTTACTCTTCGACCCTAGGCCGCGCCATAGCTCAAGCGCTTAGTCCCTGGCTTCCCATCGCGGCGGCCCGGGTTCGATCCCCGGTCTCAAGTGGGATTTGTGGTGGACAAAGTGACGCTGGGGCAGGTTTTCTCGGAGTACTTCGGTTTCCCCTGCCAATCTTCATTCCACAAATTGCTCCACAATCACCCTCACCTATCATCTGGAGCTGGTACAATAGGCCAGAAGCGGCCGCAGTACAAGGGACTTAGTCCCACTCAACTAGTAATAAAAATAATAATACTCTTCGACCCTTAAGGGTGAAGGTGTCATGTTCTTCCAAAACCTTAGTTGACTTTCACAGGGCTACACTGCCTTATATCCCAGAAGAGAGATCTCTTTAATTATGCTGCACCTAAAACTCATCTGAAATCCCGTGTGGAGACCGGTTCGAATGCCTCCACCGTGGCCCTGCGAATCATAGATGACGAAAAGGGAACTAAGTGCCTGGGTGTATAACTGGGCCACCCTGTTCCTGGGGATATAAATACGGGGACCTGTCCCTTAAGGTTGGTAGAGCCTCGAATTTGAGACAGTAAAATGTGGTCACGAGTCCGCGAAATCCGAACATAAGAATGACTGCACTGACGAGAGTCAGCAGCAGTTGCAATCTACACACACATCGTCTCGTCTGATAGGATGTTACGTAAGGACTATAAGAGCACGTATTCAGTTGTAAAAATTCTCCGGTCGTGAGTCTCAAGGGGTTTGCCGTCAAAATGAATTGATTGGCTGTAAACCGCCAGTCGTGAAGTAAATCTGACACTGACTCTGACGCATCTGAATATTTGTCATGATCATGTAGTTATATATATATCATTATGAAATCATTAGAAATTAGTATCGCTAAATTCTATTCTAAACATAAAATGAAGACCCAAATCACTCTACTGGAGGTATCATTGAACACATATGAACTTCCTTCCATTAGGTTGTATAGTTGCTGCGTGAGGTGCCCTCAGAGATGTTTTATACAGACAATAGTCTCATTCGTCCATAAGTGCGAGAATCTTACGTTAAAGACACCACTGGACTACTCTTGTGTCCTAAGAGACACAGTGTCGCTGCACGAAATAAAAAGTTCTCTTCGACTTACAGAGATTCCATCTGAAAATACAGTTTTGTTCCTTCAGGATGACGGAGGGCGTGAGGGGAAGTGGGAGCTAGTCTGTAATTAGAAGGGAGCAAGACAATATGTTCAGGGGCCCTCGAGTTACATGTGCTGCCTGTGTGTTGCAGGTTTGGTTCCAGAACCGGCGCGCCAAGTGGCGGAAGAAGGAACACACGAAGAAAGGGCCAGGGCGCCCTGCGCACAACGCACACCCGCAGACGTGCAGCGGGGAGCCTATCCCGGAGGAGGAGCTGCTGCGGAAGGAGCGAGAGCGACGCGAGAAGAAACTCATGAAGTCACTGCAGCGACAGCAGCGCAAACTGGCGGCAAAGGGAATAGCAGTCGACATGGCTACCTTGAGGCGAGAGTGGGAGCAGCAACAGGGAAAGAAAGTAGCCTCTAGGGTCCAACAGTCGTCTTCTCAACAGACATCTGTTCTGAACAACAACAACAATGACTCTTCAAGCTGCTGCAGCAACACTAACAGTTCTGCTGCTAGGGATATAGAGATAGACGTCGTTGGGGATGATAGCGACAGTGAAGGTGATGACAATTCGTCTAGAAAAAGTGATTCAGGACCGGTTAGTTTTGTAACTGTTTCACCGTCATCAACCGCTAGGGATGAAGAAGAGTTTGGTGATCGTCTGAGAGTGGTGAAGAGGTCAGAATTATCATTTGAACATTACAGACATCAACAAAATTCGACCACTCCAACAATCGATCTCTCGACTGTTAATAAGTGCAACAGTAATGATAATAACAAACAGAGAAGATTAAATCCTTTCAGTATAGAATCTCTGCTCTCAAGAACGGAGCATTCTGCAACTGTAATGACCGAAAATAACACGAATCACAGCCGTACGATGAGGGAGACACCTGGTGATTTAACAACGAACTTGTGATTCAAGTAACGGTTTTGCCGGAATATTTATGTGTTTTATTTTCTTTTTGTACACAACAAATGAAAGTGGCGAGTTCGGTTCTGAAATAATATTAAATAGTAATAAATTATGATATATGAAATATGAAAAGGAAATTTCGTAAACATAATCAATACAATAGTTACGTTATTGTCGTGACTAAATAGTATGCCTTCGAGACAAAATAAAACGCTAATTATAAAACCCTTTATGATGTATATAAATAACAAACATATTTAATATTTACCATTTTTAAATCACAGAAGTTTAATTGGGGCTATAAACTTAAATTTTTCCTAATTTTAAACACATTAACGAGAAATACGGCAGAAACACCGAAGAGGGGGTGGGTGTAATAAGAAATATACAAGTTCTTCGAAAAATTTTGCCTCACTTGTCCAAAGGATGTAGTACGTATTTGAGGCTAAATACGGAACTTTACAATTTGGCATCGTATTTTTTGCCAAAAATTTTATACATGAAGGGATATGACATTTCACATACACTGGAACTTGATGTCAGTGCTCATTTCCATTGTTAGAATCTTTAACATTAAATCCATCTCAGATTTATTCTGTTTCTAAAAGTATCATGGATTATTCCCTCGAAAAAGTCCAGACTTGAAAGTTACTCCGAAGTTAGCACTCAGAAACGTGGTACTCTTCTCTGCAAAAGAGAAAGACCCACCCGTTTTCCTTAGGATATTTACATTGGTTGAACTTGGTAAGCATTTTTCTTAAGACGGATGATTTTGGCCATTGCTTGTTCACATGCCTTACCTACATTATTCAACGTTAAACTACATGAATTGGAGATAAATTTGACTTTTCCTTAAATGTATTGAAATTAGAAGAAAGCAGTCTTCTAAGATTTGGCATCGTGTATATGTGATTTTAACCGACGTTTCAGAGGAACGGATCGCCTCCATCTTCAGGGTGGAAGAAAAAATATAAGAAATCTGNTTCTTCTTAATTTGTTTCAATTTTTATTTTACATATCGATGGAAATTCTCCATCTTCTTAGCCCTATTAGAGTCCGAAACAGTGATATAATGCATGGCTCTACCTGCTTACGCAATTCGACCGTGGAATGTATCTATTGAGTGTGTTAGTCATCTGTGCACAGAATGGAGAATCGCCCATTAAGGGTTACTAGTCTGTAATTCAGTTTTAGATAAGATTTATTATAAACGTAAATACCGTTTACAATTACACTACTTTCATAAACTGATCTGGTATTAAAATATTAATTTATTGAATTCTAGGACACTTCTTATTCGTAATATCTGGCAACAACGGACCAAGTATGTCTATGGGTATATTTTGAGACCGTCATTTTAAAGTTAAATTCTACCAAAATAATTTTAAATGTCCTTGTTCCTGTTGTCTCTCTTGAAGTTATAATACAGAAAACACTTGTTTTCGACTTGTTTTCCATATGAATCATTTCTCAGTATCTAGTCACACTTATACTTCCACAAATAAGATTTTGATTGATATTTGAATAACCCAATCAGAATTCTGAACGATAAAGTGTAACTTTGTTTCGAAACACTGAACTCGTCCCTTTTCCTTCGCATTTATATTCCTCTGTTGCGCAGTGTTTCCTGTGAATCATTTCAGGAAACGTTATGCACGTTAGGGTTATTTTACTCTTCAGTTGAAACTAAGATACAAGTGAACATAAATGAAGCAAAGAAACAATTGCTGTCTGTCAAATTAAACATCTGTTGACAAACGTGATAACGAACAGAACATTGCATATTATTGTCAAATGTCTTTGAAATATTTGTTTTCTTTAATTTATAAAAATCAAAACAAATGTTGTAGTAAAAAGTAAACTGTAAAATAGAAGGTAAATAAAATGATTCGGGAACACAAACGCGAAGCAATAACGCAATATCACTTTATAGATCATTGTATAATAATATAATTAACACTTCTGATAAAATTAATGTTGATGACAAAATATTTTGCAATAATCTCTTCCAGTAGTTACAGCAGATTATTAAGACTTATTCAAAGAACTTTTCAGAATGAAATGGCAAAAAAATGTAATAATAAGAAATTTTGATGTACTATATTAGATTTAATGGATTTAGAATCAAGAAATATTTAAATATATTCTACCCCAAATGCAAACACTATATTTAATTTACTTACCTCCCTAATTTAATTTACATTAGGTTTCATATTACAGCATTTCAGCTGCAATGTAAGTAAATAAAAGTGTTTCCTGAGATAATTACTCATCTTTAGATTTCTGTAGCCTGGAATCCTTATTTACAAATAAATATCGGTCATAGTGTAATTAATTTTTGTGCCAAGAAATTAAATTTTCGGGAAGCTCACGTAGAGGGCAACGTGTGGATATTCCCCATCATCAATAATATAAAAATGGAAGCCAGGCAAATTTAGTGCCAACTTTAGCTGATAGAGAATGTCACGTGGTCAGGGCTACGAATCCCTACGGCCGTTAATTTCGGTTTTGTAGACCGGAGCCGCTATTTTTCCATTCAAATTACTTCTCAATTATCCTCACGAGGCTGAGTGGACCCCGTTTTCAGAAAATCTGGTAGCGCCGGGAGTCGAACCCGAGACCTCCGGATCTATAGACAGGAACTCTGACCACTAGACCACAGAGGCGGTCATTATCACTCCAATAAACAGAAAGAAGTTAAAAACCGACCGTCTTAGAAGCAGATCTACCTACGGCGAACATTTTAAAGAGTACATCAGTTTGGAGTCATCAGGGACAGATGCCAGACCAGTCAGAAATCCTGAATAGTGACAGAATTCTTGAATACCGGAAGCAATCACCGAAGAATTTCAGCACTTCAGCACGAGTGACCAATAACTACTCAAGACAGTGTTTTGTACATGTTGTATATTGTCGTTGCGAGTAACAACAGAACAACTCAATACTGAAATTCTGAACTAGTTACGTGCTGCGTACATGGGATGCGACACGCCATTACGACATCTCACTCCAAACACAAGAAGGAAAGATAGAACATTCACGTAGAACATTTATATTACGGTTTCATCAACCATGCAACCACTTTATTCCTTAGAATTTTCACTTTTTACATGTTTCGGCCCCAACCCTCTGTCCGCTAAAGTTGGCACTAACTTCGCCGACAAGCGGCGGTCGTACGGTCGGTAGGTATAGTCTACTTGTGGACTACAGGCCACGGAGTTTTGGGCCCCAATCGTCCATTATCAAGTACTTCAATTCGCCAGAACTGTTACCTGAATTGAATGTCGGTCATACATTTCACGTGTAACTGCACTGTTCCATATTAATATTGAAGTTACGATCCAGACAGATAGAAACTTAAAATTATTCCCTTCCTCGTGCGTTGCGATTGTCTCTAAACTACAAACTAAAAAAATCAGCAAGTTAAAAATTGCTGAATGATTTGAAATTATTGAGATTATGAAATGTACACATGTTAGGACAATGCAGTATGGCCCAGAAAATGGCAGACATCAGTAGATTTGTGAGACACAGGTGAAACATTTGATGGAAAACTCAGAAAAAAATAAGTAAATGTATCCCTGTAACAGGCCGTGGAGGCCCATAGGTTTGTGAGAACTCGAGGTTCCCACATTATCTCTACACAATCGGCTCACAGATGGCGGTAAGGTTGTCAGCCCTACGCGCCGGCCGCCCTTTACCACCAAAGAATATATCAAGAATATTCCTGGTACTCATTTCTGTTAGAGGCTGAGTCCAATCCAGGGCCATAGTGCGGCTGGAAGAATTAGGTCAATTGAAAAAAGTCCAATGACATCATCGGGACTTGAACCCGCGACCTTCCGGCCTGTAGCATAATGCCTCAACCAACTACGCTACAGCGTGCCCTGGAAAACTCAGTAAGGACAATGTAAAAAGGTCTTCAAACGGTCGGAATTACTGAGTTTTTGGACTTTTCCCATCGTCCGGTATTCTAGAAAGTAGAAAAGACAACGTTTCGGAAACTAGATTTGTTTCCTTCCTCAGGTGAAAACACCTACTCAGTTGGGTCCCTTCCATGTAGTCTGGTGAATGCTTACTGACCGCTGCTTCCATTTGTAGGACAGAACTACACGGCATCACATTCTGGAACCACAGAATGTTACCGGTAACATAGAAATATCAACTAGAAAGCCAAGGAAATATTTTGACAGCTAAAATAATATTCAGTATTAACAAACACTTTAAATACGTAGGTTAAAATATTGTGGTTTGTATACTCATTGCTAAGCAACAGATGGTCAAACACATTCCTGCAGAAGCAAACGCGAGGAACAATTGGACGTCCACTGCTAGGAAATGGCGCAGTGAACAGAATCGAATTCCGAAGCTGGTAGCTGTAGGAGTCCAATCCAAGTCCAGTGTTAGGTCAGTTGAGTTGAGGTTTCGGCCTTGGAGTGTTAATCAGCCGACAACGGGAGCTGAAGAATCTCCATTGCCAATATTCGTTACCAGAATAGTCTAATGAAGACACGGCAAAGGAATAGCCATTGTTGCGAGCTGTTATCAAGTGAAGACTTAATGTTGAGTGATTTGTAATGTGGAAATCAGCAATAGTGCTATAGTTATTTGTAGTTACGCCCTGTAAGCTTTCAATAAATCTATTCAGCAATCCAAACTCCGTCTATAGTCACTAATGCACATGACATTATCAATGTTAGAAAGTTTATTACAGATATAACAAAACAAATTTTCAATATCACAAACGATCACAATGCACAAACAATTTGTTTCGGGGACGAGGAGAACATAAGGTGAATATGATACACAGAAATGAGACGAAAACTACTTAAATTCAAAACAACACATTGTAGATTTCAAGTATTTAGTAAAATCTCATACGTACTAAACGTTATTTCTGGTCCCAGCCGAAGCCCAGTAAAGTAGGAGCATTTCATTGTTTCCCAGTGTTTGGTACATTTCGATTTAGGAAGTAACTCACAATGAGTGTCAGTAATTTCCGAACTTCCAGAACACGTATTTCGATTTACCGCGATTATGGTCGAAGCAATAATCGATACACCGCGTATGGTATCATTTCTTTTTGGTTCTTTCGGTTTTTATTTAATACTTACTTACTTACTTATGGAGCTGAGCCCTTCCTAAGCAGAATCCAATTCTGCACCCACTGAAGAATTCCCCGGCAGTTTATGAAACCCGAATATACTTTATCGTGTTCACAAGAGACCTTTACTGGTTCCTATCGTGAACCAGATCAATCCAATCAATACCATTCCATCATATTTCTCTATGATCAATGTTAATATTGTCCACCCACCTATGCCTTGGTCTTCCCAGTGGTCTCTTTCCTTCTGGCTTTCACACCAATATCCTATACGCATTCCTCGTGCCCACATTCATGCTACATTCCCTGCCCACCTCATCCTCCTTGACTTGATTATTCTAATTAATACATCATTATTTATTCTAAAAAATTAATTTGATGTTATCGATTACGTAAGAGTGCAGACATACAAATACAACAGGAATAAAAAAAACAGAACCGTGAAATAAAAGTTTCGAAACAAAAACATCAGGAAAGAGATTTAACGTGCAGTACTTCTTCTATTTATTAAAGTTTTCGGTTTATTAAATTTATTTTCTTGTTCTGGTGTATTTGTTCCACTTATCCTTTTGTTTGTTGTGTAAAAAAAAAGTTTAACATGCTTATATATATATATAAGTCAATTAAATATTTCTTTGTCTAAATTTACATAAAAATAATTCGTGAAAATCTGTATTTAATGAAAATAAATCAATTTCCTAATAGATTAATTAAATACAGATTTAATTGCATGAACTTCAAATATTAATGCAAGCTCCGTGGAAACGTAAAGACAAAGACAGTTTTGATGTTTTATAAATTACAGGGCCTATGGTTGCAAACA